TTCTAGGTAGGAATGTAGTCAATCTCCTGTTCGAGACCTAGTCTACTCCGGCCCCACTTCGGAGGCCTGCACTTGTGCCCGCGAGCATGGCAAGAAGGTGTGAGCAACGTTCGGCAGTAGCAGACGGTCTGTTCGTCCTTTCGCCAGCATGTCACTGTGCAGATGGCCGCGCTCGCTAGCGCTCGCTACTAACGTCTGGTCCTCCGCTCTCCTCTTCCACCCCCCCTCGGCCCCTACTGCTCCACCTTTCCCCGTCCTTGCTCTTCGCTCGTCATTGCCTACTCCTTTCTACGGTCTCGCGCCGCCGTTTCTGGCCTAGCCAGCTTCGGCGCGACACGCTGGCCATTTCCTGGTTAAGTCGGGCTTGTCCCTCTACAGGAGGAATAGTGGAAAATAGTAAAATATAGTCTGGGGACGATATTCTTATTAATTGTTGATTGTTTGGGGTATGTTGGTTTCTTTCCCTGTAGGAGGACATGCCCGACCTAATTCCAGGTCCCCAAGCGTCAACGGCCCGAGCTTACCCCAGTCTCCCGCCCGCTGGGCGGAGCGACAAGCTATATCCGCTTGTACGGCACATAGCGTTTCCCTGGGGCCGCCGCCGCGACACGCTAACTAAACATTCCCGACAGCTCCTCCCCCTCCCTCGCGATCATTGCCCTGCTCGACATCGGACTGTGCGAATAGAGGGGATATCTACGCCATGGTAAGGGATGTGGGGAGGGGTAGGAGGTTAGATATGACGCGAGCGCACCTAGCTTGACTCCTCCCCCTCCCCCCATATACCCCCTCCTGCTCCTCCTCCTACCCCCCCGTGCGTTCGCTCACCCGCTCGCGCGTGTGAGGAGACCTGGGACCAGAGCAAGCGACGCATCCCACCCCAGGTCATCCCCCCCCCTCCTCCTCCCTCCCCCTCCCCTCCCCTCCTCCCCCTCCTCCCTCCCTCCTCCTCCTCCTCCTCCTCCTCCTCCTCCTCCTCCTCCTCCTCCTCCTCCTCCTCCTCCTCCTCCTCTCCTCCTCCTCCCCTCTGACCTTAAGTCGCTCTACCCTTCCCCTCCCCCCTCTCTCCCTCCTTTCCCCCCTCCTCCCTCTCTTCCCCTTCCATCCTCCTCCCTTCTTCCCACTGCTCCTCTCTCCTCCCTTCTCCTCTCTCCTCCCTTCCTCCCGCCTCCCCCTCCTCCCCTCCCCCTCCTCCTCCTCCCCCTCCTCCTCCTCCTCCTCCTCCTCCTCCTCCTCCTGTCCTCCTCGGCACTCCCTCGGGTGCCTCCCGCCTCTCCTGCTCCCCCTCGCCCTCCCGGGCGGTGGGCGCCCCGCTCCCCCCCCCCCCAAAGGGGCGGGCGGCCGCCAGGCCTCTCCCTTTCGGTCGCGGCCCCGTCCTGTTCACGAGAGGGACGGCATCCCAAGCTGGGAAAGAGCGCGTTCTGTGGTCGCTTGGAGGGGGGGGGGGTTGGAACCGTACTCCCCCCCCCCCTGGATGGAGGGGGGGGGGGTTCGAATCCCCGCTCTCTCCAAGCTAGGGACGTCCAGCCGAAGTCGATGTCGGTGACCCCGTCGCTCCCTCCCCGCGTTCACTCGGACAGCGCAGCGGGCGCCGGAGGACGAGAGCGGCAGCAGCCAATTACGGTGGGGGCGTTCGTTAAGGAAGGTGCCCAGGAGGCTTCAGACCCTGGAGGGTTCCTTATCTGATGAGGGCGGCGGTGATATCCATGGCCAGTTTACGATTGGAATTCTGCCCGCTTCCAGACCCCACATTCCTCATCAATGGTTTCCCTATCCAATGCCATCACCGTAACCTTTCAGGTGACCCGCTCCACTCAGGCACCGTGAAACACAGATACCTTTCAGTCAGATGCGATGGTCCCCCCCGTTCTTCGACGAGAACGTTAGGGGCCATGGGCTCCATGTTAGGGGCGCCTTCGAGGTTCAAGGGAGGTGTGGGGTTCTCGCATCTTTTTTTACAGTAAGTTCTTGACGGTCTTCGGCATCGGAGTGCTCTCCAGCAGCTGCGCCTCGCCGAGGGCGTTCCGGGAGTGTCGGCACCGTCCCGAACGGCCGCTTGGGATTCGAGGTATGACCTGAAAACCAGGAGCCATCATCAGCGGGGGATAGGCTGAGGGGGGATGCACCGACCCCTAATCGCCCATTCGTCGCCGATAGAGGCCCGATAGCCCACCTGGCCAAGAACTCGTGGATTCGCCGGAGGCCTATCTCCGATCTACCCCCGTCGTACCGCCGATTCCAGGTTGACGTAATTACCCCCCCCTGAACTGGTCCCCCACTCTCGTTCCTTCTCCCTCCCTCCTACTGTCCCCCCGTCGCGCTCGCCGTCGTCGTCCCGCTCTCCTCCCCGGTTTACCTCCTCCTCCTCCTCCTCCTCCTCCTCCTCCACCCTCCTCCTCCTCCTCCTCCTCCTCCTCCTCCTCCTCCTCCTCCTCCCTCCACCCTCCTCCTCCTCCTCCTCCTCCTCCTCCTCCTCCTCCTCCTCTCCTCCTCCTCCTCCTCCTCCTCCTCCTCTTCCTCCTCCTCCTCCTCCTCCTCCTCCTCCTCCTCCTCCTCCTCCTCCTCCTCCTCCCTCCTCCTCCTCCTCCTCCTCCTCCCCCTCCCCTCTGACCTTAAGTCGCTCTAGGCCCTTCCCCCTCCCCCCTCCCTCCTTTCCCCCCCTCCTCCCTCTCTTCCCCCTCCATCCCTCCTCCCTTCTTCCCACTGCTCCTCTCTCCTCCCTTCTCCTTCTCCTCCCTCCCTCCCGCCTCCCCCTCCTCCTCCTCCTCCTCCTCCTCCTCCTCCTCCTCCTCCTCCTCCTCCTCCTCCTCCTCCTCCTCCTCCTCCTCCTCCTCCTCCTTGTCATGGGCGCCGTCCTCCCGCTCCGCCCCGCCGGTGCCATCGCTGCTTCAGGGGCAGTCGGGCGGCCCTCGGCCCGAACTCGGCACGGCCTGCGCTCGAATGCACATGCTCCAAGGCGCTCGTCGCCGTCGGCGCCGTCGTTCGCATTTTTCCCCAGGCAGTGCTTGCCCTCGGGAGATCTCGCTCAGGTTCCTGAAGGCATCGCGGGAACGCGGGGGGGGCCCAGCGCGGATCCAAGAAATCCGCGCGGAGCGCCAACGGTGTATGTTTATGGCGTTTTTCTTCTTCCATCATAGCTTGCGCCGCATAGCTCACACACATCACATAGCTCACATCACACAGCTTACACAACATAGCTCACCCCGTATAGCACAGTGTGCACATCATTTAGCATACACACAACACAGGTGGCACCGCAGAACTCACACCGCGTAGCTTACGTCGCAGAGCTTGCACAGACTAGCTTACACCACAGATCTTGCACCACCATAGCTCACACCGCATAGCTCATTCCACATAGCCTTCACCTCCACTGTGCAGTAACTCACTGTTTTGGGGTCGGCGCTGGCTAACTTTCACAGATGTCGCCGCGCCGCTTGTTCCGACGCGCGGCCCCCCGTCCTGGGGAGGCCGCCGCTGGCACCAGGGCAAACGTCGCCTCGAGCGCAGGGGGCTTGCCGTGGGCTTGCCGCGGTGCCGGCCTCGTCTGCTTGGGGCGTGGGGCGCAGGGCCTGCTGTGGGTTAGCCGTGGTGCTGGTGTCGTCCACCTGGACTGATGGGCCTGTTTTTCACCACCATAAGTTGGAGGGGGGAAGGAGGTCGAGGAGGAGGAAGGAGGAGGAGGAGGAGGAGGAGGAGGAGGAGGAGGAGGAGGAGGAGGAGGACCCCCTCCCCCTCCTACTCGGGGTGGTGGCGGCGGAAAACAGGCCCACCACGGGCGCGTCGAGGGCAGGCGGCGCGGCGACAGGTGTACCCACACCCGTGTATGCGTACCACCAGGCGCCCTCCAGCGGGCCTCGCCTTCGGCGGCGCCGACCCGCCCTCGGCGGCGGGCGGCGGAGGGCCCGCGGAGGCCGGCGGCCAAGCGGAACGGCGGCCGGCCCGCCGGCGGAAGGTGGGCGGAAGGTCTCGGGGTCTCCCAGATGGGGTCGGAGTAGATGTTCTGCACGAGCGAGATGGGCACGGAAAGAATGGGCACGATGCCCAGCAGCGGATTTGGTTCATTTTGAACAGGACTCGCCCTCCGCGCCGCCGCGGCCTGTGTCCGTTTGAGACAGAAGGCCGCCCGCCCAACAGCGGCCGCTGCCGGTTTGGGACAACATTTGTTGTTGGGCATTGTACGCATTCTTTCGGTACCTATTTCGGGCGTCCAAATCGGGGTCTCCCAGATGGGGTCGGAGTACGTACATGTGGTCGGAGGATAGCGCCGCATCGCCACTGCATCGCCGATGCGGTTTGATGTGGAGCCCGATTTGCTTCACGTCGACGTCGCCAATGCATCGCCCACGTCGACGATGCATCGCCAGTGCATCCCCGAGGCATCGCCGATGCATCGGCGATGCGGCGCGATCCTCCGACCACATCTACTCCGACCTCATCTAGGAGGCCTCTTAGGTCGGCGGAAGACTGCGGATGTACAGATTAGATGTCAGGTGAGACGCAGAGGAGGAACAGGTGTCCGTACTGCTACCCTTCGCCCTTTGCCCTCTGTCATGGCCTTCCGGGAGGCCCACGTCGCCACCGCTGGGATTCGCCTCGAAAGTCTGGTCAGAACGCTCCCCAGGAGAGGTCCGGGGAGCAGCGGTGTCGGTACCTCTTGATTTCCTCGTGGACGTCACCATTTTGGGATGCAGGGTTCCCAGAGTCGGCCACGCACACCGTTCCTGACAGTCCTCTGTGCCTCGTCTGCTTCGTGTTTTGCACCCTCTGTGTTCTGCTGCTCTGCCGCAGCTTCTGGACTCGTGAGTCCGCATTGGCGGGTAGACGGATGAGCACCGCAAGTTGAGTCATCGACGTCAACATCAGCAGCATCTTGAAGGAAAACACTGGACAGGATGATAGGGGGAGGGGGAGCAGGCGACGCAGTGTGCTCCCCAGCTTTCTTCACGATCCAGCCCGATGCCCATCGCACCCTGGCCCACCGACGCGATGGTGCCCAGGAGGAAGAGGAGATCGCGGAGCCCATGCGGCAGATCCAGTGCAACCCGCCGAAGAAAGGCGCCCGCCGCCCCCCCCCCCTGCACTCCGTCCCCCCCTGCCAGCGCGAGCGAGCTGCGCCCGGCCGCGCGGAGCGCCCGGCCGCGCGGAGCGCCTCGCGACGGGGCCGCGGCAGGCATCGGCCTGCTTGGCAGACCGCCCGAACCGTGCGCCTGGGCGGCGGGAACCTCCAAGCCGGCGCATCCCAGGCAGCGAGTTCTGGGGTCAGGTCGGGCACGTCCCCCTGTAGAGGCGGATTTCGGAGGAAAACTAAACGATAGTCGAAACATATTCCCGATGATCAAACACAGTCAACACATCGTCCCCGCTCTGGAAAAAATTGTTGAATTTTCCCCCCGTTGAGGGACATGCCGAGATCAGTACATTTTATTATATCTATACATATATATATATATATATACATATATACACAGGACATTACTCGGGCCCCAGGACCCTCGCATATCGATCCAGCTCGACGAATGACGCAGAAACATGGGGTCCGGGGCTCAGGGCGTGACTTTCTGCGATGTTTCAATTTTTTGGCTCCGCCCCCCCCCCCCCCCCTCGAGATCATGACTTATCTATGGATTTATTTATTTGTTATATATATATATATATATAGATGCTCAGGGCAGGACACGCCGAGATCCGTACATCTGCTTATGCGTGGCAGCGCAGCGGAGGCCGGCCGCACGCGCGCGCGCAGGCTGGCGGGCAGGGAGAGACAGCAGGCGCGAAGTGTGCCCGGCAGAGCAGGAGGGCTGGAGAATCAGGGCCTAAGAGACGGGGGGTCAGTGCAAACGGGGGTCAGCCAGAGCGCCAGATCCTGCAGGATCCTGCGAAGGCCCCCTCTGGCTGACCCGGGTTAGCGAGCCGCTCGTGGCCGCGAGGCGGCCGCGCATATTGGCTGACCCCGGTTTGCGAAGATCTGCGTTGCCGTCTTGCATTGCAGTTTTTGGTTTCTTGCTGACCCGGGTCCGGATTGACCCAGGTCAGAAGATCCCCGAGAGAAGGGCACGCACGTCGGCACGAACGAAGTGGGTAGGGAAAGAGTGGGTGCAATGCCCAATAGCGGATCCTGTTCGTTTTGAACAGGACTCGCTGTCCACGCCGCCGCGGCCTGTGTCTATTCGGGACAGACGGCCGCCTGCCCAACAGCGGCCGCTGTTGGTTTGGGGTAACATTTGTTGTTGGGCATTGCCATCTTTTGCGTACCCACTTCGGGCGTCCAAAGCATGTTAAGCTGGGCACGTCCCTCTACAGGAGGAGCATTCAAAAATAGGAAAGAATAGTCGGGGGACGATTTCCCGATTGTTTCTTACAGTCAACGCGCTTAGTAAGGACGCGCGCCTTCATCTAGGGTGCCCTTGTGTCCTTGCCTCTGAGGCTCGTCCTTGCCATTATCACTGGTCGCCCGCCGCCCTAGAAAACCCGACTTCGGCCTCCGAGGGTCTTGCGTCCTTCTCACCCGTCCTCAATCTACGTTTTGACTGTAGTATTCTCGAGTCTGGTTCACATTTTTTTTGGTTTTAATAATATTTTTTCGCCCGAGAGCCGCCTGTAGGAGGACACGCCCGACCCAACGCGACCGCGCGGCCGCGGGGGGGACGGAAAAACGGGGGGAGTGGAGGGCGCTCACGGGGCGAGGGGTGCATCCGCCTGGGAGCGGCCAGGCCCGCCCTTTGGGCCCCCGGAGTGTCGGCGTGCACTTGGCATCGCTCGGACGCGTGCATTTTTCCTTCGGCGAGGACCATCGAGGAGCATCCTGGATCATGTGGCGAACAAGCCACGCACGAAACCGAAAAACACACAGGGAATGGACGTCCGAGCGATGGCGAGGTCCTGGGCCCTGGAGTGTCGGCGTGCATGCTGCACGGCCAGGCCAGGCGCTCTCCCCGGGTCTCGGAGCCCAGGATGGGCCTGGCCAGGGTCGGCGCATGCGCATCTCGGGGGCGGGAAAGAGGGGGGTGACGACTGGGGGGGGGGTGGATACCATGGCGGGGGCCATGATCGTTCCCCAGATTTCATGGCGCCTCTTCGTGTTTCATTACGTCCCTGGCCCCCCCGCTGGGCCGCGCACATGCCGCCCGTCATGATTTGCACCCCCCCCTCTTGGACACCCCCCTCTTGGCCGCTTCCGAGCATCGTACACGGTGTTCTTTCTTCAGGGTGTGGGGTTTCACTGTGATCCGACGTTGCGAAGCGCTTGCAACGTCGCAGAAAAATCACGGTTCGAGCTCTGGACCCCATCTTTCTCCATCATTTTTCGAGCGGGATCGATCTGTGAATGTCCTGGAGCGTGAAATGGGGCGAAAACGTCTGTTGTGCAAGAAGTTGCAACGCTAGGATCTCAGGGTACCCATCGGGGCGGGGTTTCGGACGGGGCCAGGACCAGGATACATCCGTTCCAGAGCGTTCCAGGACGCTCTCAGAGCGTTCCGGAACGCTCTGAGAAGGCCGCAGCGCCCGACATATTCTCCAGAGCCGCCGGATATCAGAGATTTTGGATTTACCAGTGGAAGCCCATGCCAAGAAACACCCTGCTTGCCTCCAGGGTGCCCTGGGCTTCTTGGGCTTCGACGGTTTTGCCGTGGAAGGCGTGACCGTCCCACACCAAGAACCAACGGGGACGTCCTGGGGTCTCAGGGTTGGGCTTCCTGTAGAAGCTTCCCTGTGCACTGGCCTTCACTGCATCGCCACCCGATTTGATCCTCGTCCTGTCTTCGTCCCAGGGTGCGGGACGGGAAAATGACCACAGCCACTGCTTCTCGCTTGCGCCGCCTTCCAGCCAGCCGAAAATCAAGCAGTGGTTGTGGTCATTTCCCTGGTGCCAAGCTCAACGAAAATGACCACAACCACTGCTTTGTTTCTGCTGGCTGGAAGGCGGCAACAAAAGAACGCAGTGGCTGTGGTCGTTTTCGCGTCCCGTACAGGGCTACCGAGCGGGACGCCCGACAGCCCCGAGCCAACTGCGGAGGCGGGGCGGACGCCAGTCGGGGCGCTCCGGCGCAAGAGTGCCCCTCGCCCGGAGGCTCCCACGGTCCGCGGCGCCCACCGCCCTGCCGGGGCGGGGTTGTGACGGGGCTCCCCATGCCTCCGGGGACCGCGGGGCTCCAGGCCCCCCTCGCTCCCTCCTCCGCCACCTCCTCCCTCCTCTCCCTCCTCCTCCCTCCTCCGCCTCCCTCCTCCGCCTCCCTCCTCTCCCTCCTCCTCCTCCGCCTCCTCCCTCCTCCTCCTCCTCCTCCTCCTCCTCCTCCTCCTCCTCCTCCTGCGAAGGCCGCGGCGCGGGTCCCTTTGCCGCCGCGCCCGCGCTTGCGCCCGCTCTGAGCTCCAGGAGCGTCGCGACGACACCTCCCGAGCGGGGTGCGGGCAAGCCCGGACCCCGCTCGGCTAGTCGCCCAGCTCCTCCAGCTCAGTCAGCGAGCGGCGCCCCGGCGCAGCCCGGCGCCGCAGCAGCCCGCCGCGGCAGCTCGCAGCTCGGCGGCCCGGCCGGCGCCGTCCACCCCCCGCCGCCGGGCGCGCCGCTTCCGCCGCGCTGGCGTGGGGCGCGCGCCGCGCCGCCGGGCGCCGCCGCGGCCGCCGCCGCCGCGCGGCGGTTGCCGCCGGTGCCGCCGCGCCTCCAGCCCCGCCCCGGGCAGCCGCCGCCGCCGCCGCCGCGCGTCTGCCAGAGCGCCGGCTCCGTCCGCCTGGCGGCCGCGCCCAGCTGCAGCGCCGCCCCCGCAGCCGGCGCCGCCCGCGCAGCCCGCCGCCGCTGCCCAGCGCGCCGCGCCCGCCGCAAGCGCCGCCGCCGCCCGCCGGGCGCCCGGCGTCGTCAGCTCCAGGTGCCCCTGCGCCCGGGCGCGGCGCGTGCGCCGCGCCCTGCGCGCGCCTCAGCAGCAGGCCGCCCCAGCGCTCAGCGCCTCAAGGGGCGCGGCCGGGCGCGCCGCCCCAGTGGCCACACCGAGGCGTTGTGCGCCTCGGCGTTGGCCCGCTGCAGCGCGGCGGCCATGCTCTGGCGCGCCGCCGAGAGCACAGCCGCGTCGCCCGCCGCCCAGGTGCGCAGGAGGTCCTGCGCCTCGCGCCCAGGCCGGCCCAGCGTCTCCAGCGCGAACGCGCACAGCGCCGCGCCAGGGTAGCGGCGGTGCTTGCGCTCCTCCGCAGCGGCCGCCGCGGCCCCGTTGCGCCAAGCCCTGCCCCGCCCCGCCGGCGTCGCGGCCCCGGCTGCAGCGTCGGTCACCACGACGTCCACGTACGCGGTGCCGACGACCGGGTCCACGTAGGTCACGTCGAGCCGCGCCGCCTCCAGGCTGCCGTCCTGGCGGGCCCTGTCCCAGGCGGGGACGAGCTGCTCGGTGTCCACGCCCCTCGCCCCGCGCCCCTTCAGCCAGCGCGCGAGCCAATCGCGGATAGCGTTGTGGCGCGCTATCGTGCCCGCCCCAGCATGGCAGCCCAGGGGGTGAGTCGGGGCCCGCGCAAGGTCCGCTCCGCAGAGGTGCCCGTCGGCGCGGCGGCGCTGGCAGGTGGCGCAGGCGTCGGCAGGCCTTGGGAGGCGGAGGCGCAGTGCCAGCGCCGTCAGGTAGTGCTCGTCCGCCAGGCGGTGGTCGTCCTGCGTCGGCGGGAGCAGCCAGCTGCCGGCGCCTTTCCCGCTGGCCGAGCGGAGCTGGGCAGCCTGCTCTGGCGGCAGCCCTGCCAGGAGCCGCTTCCGGTTCTCGTCTCGTTCGTGGTGCGCGAGCGCCTTCTGTGCCTTGCGCTTCGGCTCCACCGCGGCCCGGTGCCACTCGCCGGCGCCAAGCCGGAGCTCGTTGCCCGCCCGCTCCGCCGCGCCCCAGAGTGCCGGGCAGCTCGAGGCGAACGCCGCCAAGCTGGCTTCGCCCAGCTCCCGCCGGACGTCTGCCAGGCAGCCGAGCCACGAGCCAGCGAAGGCGGCGAGCCGGCGTTGGGACATGCTGTGCAAGCCCACCCCGCCCTCTGCCAGGGGAAGGAAGAGCTGCGCCCGCGCGTCCGGCGGCAGAGGGCGCCCGAGCAAGCTCTCCAGGTGC